TGGGACAACTTCGGTTGAGTGGACCCTTTTAGTCGAAAAAAAAAACAGTCGGAAACAAACAGAAAGTTTCACATGATTTTCGATTTCAACTTTGAATATTATCGTTCTCTGCGAACTTTTCGGTAGTCAGTAAACGATCAAAGAAAGGCAAACAGTAAAATGCGAAAGATTTTTCCTAATTTCCAAGCAAAAAAAGTAACGGAACTGTTCTGAGAGTACGATCAACTGTTATAAATATCTACTAGAGAAAGTGAAAAGAAGCGACTGCCGCATGTTCCTATTCTCTGAACTATTTGATGAGTGTTTTTCTTGCGATCTATGAGTGATCTAGTGAGTGTACCTGGTGACTCGTTCAACTTGTTGAGAAGGAATGAGTCACCTAACACTGAACAGCACAATGTAGGTAGTCACAATGGGCGGCAGAAGTCTTCAAAGGAGCACATAAGGCCAAGCTTTCCACCATTTTAACCTCGTGTACTATTTAAAATGGAAGCCTCACAGTGGGCTGACATGGCGCACTCCAAGACGAGATCGATCTGCGAAAGCGCTTCAATTCCTGTCCTTTGAGGTCAAAGGAGGTGGACATTTTGTGAATATCTCGAGAATTGTGGGTGTATTTGTCTTATTGGCACACTACGCAACTCAGCTATCCCTTCGGCGATTAAGATAGGGTTGTTCACGAAGGTTGCAGATCGTTGCCACGGTACAAAAGTGCGCGGTAAGGGTGTTAGGCCTTGCCAGTTGTTTTTTACTGGCTCTAGCTGGCTCCCTTACTGCGCTATGCGACAACACTACGTCTCCTATGACATGCTGTCTCGCATATTCTCTTCCTAAGCATCCCGATCCTTTCCGTCGTACCATGTTGAACTTGACAAAAGATTAAGGTCCCCAGCTCCACTGGCTTAGATAGTCCCAGTGTTTTCATAGCTTATGCTGCTTTTTCCCACAATTGGTCTTCATCTCACTTCCGCCGTCATGTTCTGAAGAAATAGGAGCTAATGCCTGCGTTCCAGGGGGCGGGACGAGCGTGGGTGGACTGTACCTCCACACCGTCAAAAAGGGCCGAAATAACAAGTTCTACTATAGCTCAGTTATTCAATAAGTTTTCAGAATTTTTTTCGACACCTCTTTGGGTTGTAACAGTGCAATAGTGTGCACTTTCATTGAAAAGTTGAGGGCGCTAAGAGCTTTCAACCGCTTTTATTTTTTCACGCCAGGAGGATGCTGGTGTTAGCGTTCTCTCATCCCTTGTGGTCTCTCTCATATCACCTCTTCTTCGTGCTCATTCTCTCATTTCCTTACCACAACCGAACCGAGCAACTGAGTAATCCCTTGATCTTAGCGGTTTCCACCGATTCTTTACCTTTTTTTACTGGCGGTCCACTTCGCACCAATGCTTCTATATTTCAGTGTGCCAGAACCACTACAGTTTGATCCTGGGCTTGCCTTGGGGATTTGCGGATAATCTGGCCATTTCGTTTCTCTTTTGCTGATCAGCGACAATGGTTAGACATGCACATTACCAACTGCTCATGTTGTTCTTTGGACGCCTGAAAAGTTTCAGGTGCAAATGCAGCTTTTCGTAAAGCTGAATATATAGCCGATCCCGCCCATCCATGGCCCATCGTCGTGAGTTTAAAGGCAAAGTTCGGGCTCAGACCCACCTAAGAAGCCCTTACCATGGCTAGAAGTGCTGGGCACCCAAGTGCAAAGTTAGCGCCACCTTTCTACATCGAAACCCGTCACCAGGACCCTAGGCGCCGTGAACTTCTAACAGACTCCACCAAACATAACATGGTCCGCCCACCGATCGATGTCTTGTCTGCGTCGCTGCGTTGATCTGCTATGCTCTCTCTTCTCGGAATTCTACCACCCTCTGCGCTCACATTATCTCTCATCTCCCTCCCTGTCTTTTGAACTTCTCCACAGCATTGAGCAAAATGCTCGTATTTCCTGTGCATGTCAGGATTTTCTTTCCTTTTTTCTCCATTGGCGGTCCACCTCTCATCCCTACTTTCACATTTGAGTGGAATCAACCCATCAATGTAATCCTGATTCTTGCCTTTAAGTGGGAGATAGTTGGAGTATTTCTCCAATTCATTGCTTCGTAAGCGCAACTGCTGGTTTACTGTTCACTCGAAAAAAAGCAGCGCATTTAAACCTTCCAAAAAGAGGGGATGAAAAGGATAAAGCATTTGCCGTTGATCAATCCCTTTTGGGATGCGGCACGCATTCTACTTCCATTTGTACATTCGTAGTGGCGTTTGAATGCGATGTGGCCTATACAATGACTTGCGGGGGCCAGCCGATGTACAAGTCAGTGTTTTTATCCTCCCAGACAAGTCTGGTACCAATTAACCGACCCCGGAGGGATGGAAGGCTTGGTTGGCCCGGGCGACTCGGATTTGATCCCCGGACCGCTCGCGTGGTAAGCGTGCCACTTGCCACTACACCACTTCCGCCCTGTGAAGACGGGATGGGGTAGAGAAATGACTACACACCAATTCAATTCTTTCTACACTGATCGGATGTTAAATTTGGTGTTGTTATTTTACAAATATTCCTGGATAACAGGGGGCTCAATTAACCGAGCGCTAATATGACCTAAGGTGGGATCCAAGCCTATAGATCGTTGAAGTAGAAAGCACCGTCAACGGGCCCTAACCAGTATCGAGAAGCAGATAAAGCACAGCGCAACTCTTTTTCTAGCGTGATAACCTCGCAATATTCCGCCATAATCAGCTTATAGCTAAAATTCTCAGAGCCACAGTTTTCAGCAGATGTGACCACTCCAGAAGAGTAGCCATGCCAAGTACTCCAGAAGTTCGTCTCCTGCGACTGAAACACAAGTAAAGACATGGATTGAGTGAAGAGGTGGTGAAAGAAAGATAGGGGATAGCGCAGATCGTTACGCGGCTGGTCGGCGAGATTCCGGTGCATTGTCCACGCTGGTCATGATGAACACGGTCGACCGCCATCTCCCCCGAGTTAAGATGTCATCATCACCACTGTTTCTGTTACTCCTGATTCCGTTCACGTCATCTCAACTTCTTGAGATATTTGGCTTATCTACAGGAGAAGCTGGTACAGTGGACCGACAACCGTTCCAGGACCTTGCAAGGTTTGAATAATTGCTCTGATATGATCCTTGTTTTGCGATGATTAATTGTGTTTTTTAGTCAATCCGTCGGACTCATCAACTATCTTCAGACCGTTCAACGCAATCCCAACAATCAATTGGCGAAAAAGTGTGTCAGAGAAAGGAGAGCGTGTAAAGGATAGTGAGATTCCTAGGAAACACTACGTATGTAGGAAGTAAAGAGAGAGATAGTGTGTACAAAATGACGTCAAAATAGTTATGACATTGGGGTGATCCTATAATCGAAAAAAAAAGATTTTATGGAAGAAAAAACAAAAGTTACTATTTGAATAACTTATAACATTTTTTTCTTCAAATTCATGCTTAGGTGAAGACACACCTTGAAAGAAATGAGATATTTAAATATTTTTTGTAAAACCATTATATATAGCATTCTGAGCTGTTGATGATCATTTGTTGTTCTGGTTACGCGAACCGCTTCCGACGATGAACTTCATGGGTGGCCTTCCCGTGGTACCAGGTGTTATGGGCAGCCTTCCTGGCGCCGGATCGTGTCTTCCGCGTGGATCGCCTCTAGTGCGCGACAAGTACGTTTCTTTCATTGCTGACGTCATTTCAAATAATCACTTGTTTGATTTTCCAAGAGGTCATGAAGTGAATGTAAACAGCACAAGTTGAAATTTGTTTTCAGATCACCGAGTTTCTTCCAGAATATTCTCAGAAACATTCCTGGAGCTCACGATTACCTGGCCAGCCTGCTACCGGCCCCCAAAGTAGACAGCGAGGCACTTCTCGGCAAATACCAATGGGTGCGCTTGAATTACAGCAGCATTATACTGATTTCTGTTCTTATTCTGATTCCTACCCTGCTCTTTTCCCCAACAATTACCTCAAAAAACATGTTTTCCTCAAGCTAAATCATGAGAGGGCCGCATTTTGGAAAAAAGCCGCGTGACGAGAAAGAAATCGGACTACTTATCAAATTATAAAACTCG